TGTGGTAGCGGTGGTATCATACATCAGTAATCCCAGTTACTCAGGAGGCTGAAGCAGAAGGATCATGAATTGGAGCCTACCTGGAACAACTTCATGAGACCCTGTCTCAAAACAAAAAACAGGGCCGGGGAGATGGCTCAGTAGGATAAGTGCTTGACTGGCAAACGCAAGGATCTGAGTTCAATCCCTGGTTCCACAAAAAAAAAAAAAAAAAAAAAAAGGGCTGGGGGTAAAACTCAGAAGTGGAGTGTCGCTGGGCTTGATTCTCAGTACAGGGCAGAAACTCAATGAAATTGATAAAAACCTGCATGGCAGAGATTATGTTACTCAGTAAATATCACATTTTCCCCAATACTTCCCAACTTCTCTTGAAGCTGGCTTTGGCTGACGTGTATGTGACACCTGGCCAAAGACAGTGAAGAGCAAGTGAGAGAGCTACATGTTTCCTTTTCCCTTTCTGTATAGTTTTTTAAAATAATTTTATTGAGAAACAAATAGCAATAAGACAGTTTCAAAACCGATTACTAGCACAGTTTCAATAATTAATACATTGCATATTGTTGTCTTAGTGGTTATTCATTGTACAGAATGCAGACATGATATCCTGTCCACAAACACTATTAGAACAAATCTCTCTATTCATTGAATTAAGAGAATGCAGCCATATATCTATTCTATTTTGAATATATAGATACAAAATGGTCGTTCATTTGTATCCCCCTTTTTTGGTTAGATTTGTCAGAGAAGGGCATTCCATTGTCATTTAAATATTGTAGTTGTGTGAATTCAGCAAAATATTCCAATATAGTCCAGTAGTCCATAATAATAGTGGGTTTTCTATAAGACTGGCAATGTCAGAAGTTGTCAACTTGAGCCTTTTACAGCTCAGCGTATTAATAGGGCTTTACTTTTTATACTTCGTTTTTATACTTTTCTGCTGGATACTTAAGACCAAGATAAAGCAAGACCTATATAACAAGAAATATAACTTTTGTATCTGATGAGGTCAGTCAAATCCCCTCAGGATTTACTCTGAAACCCTATAGTTCAGTTTGTAGATCCTTTGTGAGTGCCAGCCATGTGGATGAGTCACAGCCATTGCTTGACCAATTTGCTCTCTGTGAAAGCCTGAGAGAATGTTTTCTCTCCGTGTGACTCTCCTTAGGCACACTCTACATCTTCAACCACTTTCCTCTGTAGCCCCATAAACTCCTAGATGAAAAAGTTTGGGACACAACTGAGTTACATGGTGTTACAGTATAGGATCTCCTATGTTGAGTCTTCACTGACCTTGAAATGTTAGCACCAAAATGTTGGCTTTCCTTGCAGCCCTTCTTTTTCTCTGATTTTTGGTCTGCAAACTTAGGTTGTTAACCCTCCAGAAGAGAAGCTTATTATTATTACCCTAAAACATAAGCAGTTGAGCTTAACTTCACTATCTGTCTGAATATCAAACATCTTAGGCATAACATGGAACAGGTATTTTCCATCAAGTATTGATATGTTAAACTTTAAATCCCTCCAGAATATGAAGGAAAAAATTTAAAAAATGAAAAAAAATTTAAAATAAGAATAAATCTGTATAGTTTGGAGTGACAAATCCTGAGATGGTACAATTGTAAAACAGAATTTAGCCTGGATCTATAAGTTAACCATTGACAGAGATCCATGAAGGAGCTACTTTAGCTGCATGAGACCATGATGGGAACAAGAAACATGTTTTCTCTAGTCACTGAAGTTCTGGGGCTTATTACCTCAGTGTCACTTCCTCTACTATACCTACTGTTCTCTGAATGACTTGAATGCCACATAATACAAATTATTATTCTATTTAAAATGATGATAAGTAAAGAAAACTTGTAACATACACTTTTTACTTCTGTAACTGAGGGCTGTATTTGCCTTCCTAGGAACAAACGATTAAGCGATGTCTAATTAGTAAGCATCTATAATCCCATATGCACATTGGTTGAATTCACTCATACACTGGCATAGAAAACACTCTGAAATAACTGTAATTGTGAGTAACAGAAGGTAGGTAGTCGGCATTGTACTTGAAACAATATTCCTCAAACCTCATTAACTCAGTTTACCCCATCCAGACTTTTAAGCATGGTCACTAACAAGTAGAAAATGACTCTCCCTGCTTCCTTTCCTCCAGTCTTTATCCGAATAGGTTCACTAATTAGATGAAAGCTAATCAAAGGGCTAGTCCCCCAAGAAAAGGAAGGAACCAGAGACATTGGCAAACTATAAAACCAGGCTCCTAATCACAAAGATCAGTTCTATACCTGTCATGACTCTGTTGCCAGAGATGATTTTAAATCAGGTACTTTTTCTGTCACCTCCCTTTATTCTGTGGCCTGAAGGAATGTTCATTTGCACACGGGTTTCTGGGTACTCAGGCACTCCACAAGCTATGCATGAAGCTTTAGCTAAAGAATGAGTCTTCAGGGTACATTCCCCTGAAGTGAATTGAGTTTCTGAAAAGCCAATTCTGAGAATAGTCCCACTTTATCCAATAGGCAAAGTATATAAAAAGAAAATAGAGGGGCCATTTAGCTGTCCTTTAGAGAGGAAGTAACAGAATGAAGAGCCCAGTTTCATTCTCCTTCTACCCTCACATCTGCTGCCAGTATTTCCCATTGATCAACCTCGACCAGAAGCTAGAGCACACAGGGCCCAAGGATGAAGTCCATGCAGGTCAGCCTCCGCCTGTTCCCATCAGGGCTCTAAATAACGTGGATAGAGAGTAGTCCCATAGAGGCAAATGGAGAATATCTAGTACAAAACTGAATAAAACTGGTAGGTTTTATCATCAGAGATAGCTTATGTTTAACTGAACTAATGTCAGCTAACTGAACTAATGTCAATTTATGTGTATTCAATACAGACCATGGGCATATCTAGGTTCAGAGATCTTTCCTTTTCTCTTTAAGATGATGACACCCCTAAACACACACACACACACACACACACACACACACACACACACACACACACACACACTATCAGAACAGTGAGGAACTGGAGACTGGAGAAATTTTCTTTTCCAGAATATAACAGGAGTGGGCCGGGGATATGGCTCAGTGACACAAGGCCTACCTGGTAAGCACGAGGTCCAGAGTTTGATGCCCAGTACAAAAATAAAATGGTGACAGAATGTAATTAGTATGGATTTTGGACATGTCTTATTAGTATCCAACCAAATAGGAGCTGCCATAAAACTTTTCTGTGGCCCTTGTACTAAAAAAGCTGCTGGACAGTTAGGTCAACCAAATTGCGTTACAGCTGCCTTGTGTCTGATCACCAAAGAGAAGCAACCTGTTCTGGAAGACAGCCTGTAGGCTAGTCCTGGGTCCTCTATACCCTTAATATCTGTGAGTCTCAACAACCCTTCCAGATGTATGATTCAGACAGCATAAAAGTACTGATGAGGGTTCTGGGTGAGATTGCCCATATCTGTAACCCCAGAACTCTGGGAAGCTGAGGCAGGAGGATTACTAGTTCAAACCCAGCCTGGGGAATTTGGGAACTTTGTGAGGTACTTTCTCAAAATACAGCCCAGGGATTGAGAGAAAGCTGGAGATGTAGCTCAGTGTGAAGGTCTTAGGTTTAATTCTTAACACCACAAAAGAAAAACAAAATTAAACAAACAAACAAAAAATCTGATGGGAGCTGGCAAGATAGCTCAGCAGACTAAGTGCCTGCTTAGGCAAGTGGAAGAACCCGGGTTTGATTCCCAGCAACACACACCAAGCTGGCCCCTCCCCCCCGGTGTGCTGAGCCAGCCTCCAAAAGCCAGCATGGTGGCACATGCCTATTATCCCAGCTCTGAGGACGCTGAAAATAGGAGGATCATTACAAGTCTAAGCTGTGTACTGCGATCCTGTACCAAATATATTTTAAAAATAACAAAACCCTTGATGAAAGGCTATTTAAACTTAGCTCCAAAAACTCTGGTTCCGTCCTCCTTCACAGGTGTAATTTTACTCAGATCATGTGTTATGGCCTGTCAAACTCTCATTTACATTTGTCAGCCCTCTACTCCTCAAATTTCTGCTAACTACTTTCTGTTCAGAAGTCTCACCACTCTCTTGGTTCTCAGCTGTTCTGCTTATCCATAGGTTATAGGTTATATGTTCTAGTTATGTATAGACCCCTAGTAATCTCAACAAGGCAAGTTTTACTTTTGCAGAAGGGCGCTAGTATGAGGTAGGTACACAGAAAGGCTGAGGCAGGCTCTTTTCATCCCGAATGGTCAGAAGCAGCTGACCTTTATTGTCATTGGCTGGGTTGAAGGTTCAAAATCTATCTCAGTTAGCTAGTTCAAGTGGCATGAAGGGAGGACTTGAAGGGTTACTAGGCAAGGTTGGTAAGGAGATGGAAGAGTAGTGGTATAGGGAATATAAAGTCTGGCTGTTGAGGAGTTTTGTTTTTTTAAAAAATATATTTGGTTGTTATAGGGTCTCACTACACAGCTTGGACTCGCAGTGCTCCTCCTGCTTTCAGCCTCCCCAGTGCTAGAATTATAGGCCTGCACCACTACATCTGGACTCTGGCCAGCTCAGCCTGCCTTGGGGGTGGGGCTAGGCCAGCATGTGGCACTGAGAATTGAACCACGGCCCCTACGCTGGCCTAAGCTTGCCTAAGCAGTCGCTTTAGTCCACTGAACTATCTCGCCAGCCTCAGATAAGTTAACTTTGGATGTCTACTGTGTTCACGGAATGTAAATGAAACTTTTCCTAAGTTAGTACACTCAAAGAAAAGGGGGATGGGCAGCCTAGAGTGAACTAGAGTTTAAGATAGAATTTCTTGTTCACATTTTTGGTAGAAAAAACAGGACTGGCGTTTGTCATACCAACTACTTTTGTCCCATGCAGTTCACTGTAGGTACTTCCGGCCCCACCCATTTACATACCTTCCTACTTCCGCTCTGCCTCAGACTACGTCAGGCTCTTCTTGAAGTCGGCCGTTGGGTGACTATTTTCTTCACTACCATGGGAGCACCAAGAGGACCTCGCCGTCTTCGCCTTCGCAACCGTCGCCACCGTTGCCCACTCCGCTCCCCACGGGCTCGCTCTAGCTTTATAGCCTTCGCCACCTTTGTGCTCAACGTGCCGACTGTGCCCCCACCCCCGCCCCCACCTCCGCAGGACCCACCAAGCTACCACCCTGACTGCGAGGCTTTGGTCAACGACCAGATCCGGCTGCAGCTCTACGCTTCCCACATCTACCTGTCCATGGCCTTCTACTTCAGCCGTGTCGATGTGGCCCTGAGTCGTTTCTCAGGTTTGTTTTTGCGCCGTTCTCAGCAGTGGAGAGAAGGAGCTGAGAACCTCATGTGGATGCAGAACAAGCGAGGTGGGCGTGTCATTCTTAACAAGATCAAGGCGCCCAACAGCGAGGAATGGCACAGCAGCTTCCACACTGTGCGATGTGCCTTACAACTGGAGAACACTCTCCACCAGAGCCTCCAAGAATTGCACAGCCTTGCAGCTGACAAGAATGACTCTGAACTGTGTGCTTTCGTGCTATGCCACTACCTAAACCCTCAGATTCCTGTCCTCAAGGAGTTAGGCGAGTACATGACCCAACTTCGCAAGATGGGGGACCAGGGGGTGGGCTTGGTGAACTACCTCCTTAGCAAGCTGAGCTTGAAGAGTGGCAACAAAAAGAACTGAGCATGGACTGGCACCAACACCACGGATTCCTTTCTTGCCCACTAGGCAGGGTGTGAACCTTTTCTTGTCACCATGTTCAAAACTGCTTCTAGTAAAGTTACTTAGTTCTTAATGCAATGAAGTTGTCCAGTTGATTGATGTGTATGGAACTCACACTTTTTAAAAATGAGGACAGATCCCTAGTGTGGGTGTAAAATGGGTATCCAGGAGTCTCCCCTACCCAGCAGGCACCCAAGGATAACCATGATGGGGAAGAAAGGTGGGATGGGATGATGTGGGTGATCTTGGGCTCTTGATATCTGCGTCATAAAGTGTAATAATGGGCCTGTGGGGCATGAGTTTAGAAAATGAGGTTGCTCAGGGAACAAAGGGATTATAGGTTGCTATGCAACTTAGTGGTAGCTTGACTACCAAGTATACAAAGGGCCACAAGTTCTATCCCAGAATGGTAAATGGTAACATAAATACAGGTATATTCAACTCTACCTAAAGATTTGTAGTTTACTAAAAAAAATACAAATGTTAATGCTTGTTGATTCTTGGTAGCATGAGAGCCTTGGAAAATGGCATGGCAGACAGGAACATCCTGGGCTCTCAGGAAAGAGCCTTAGCCTGGCCGATTAGTAACGTGGAACTTTGCGGTTCCAAGTCCTTTTATGTACATTATCATGTTGTGCTTTTATAAGAACACTAAAGAGTAAGAAGAGGGAGTATTATGACTATGTTTTTATAAGTGAGACAAAGGGAGACTGCACAGGAAATTTATAGAGACAGGACAATAATATTTTTTGATCCATACTCCATTTCTTTTCCTTACCCCAAAGGTATATAAATGGGTTAAGGATGATTGTGCAGGCAGACTGGGAATCCATCCAGATAACCAGCCCTGGAAGGGAGGGAAATCCCCAACAGTCTAAAAGACAGCCCTGAACACTGTAGTTGTTCCCCCTAATTACATATATGCCTTCCAGCTTCAGGTGGAGGTGGCTTCAAAATCTCAGCCAAAATCTTCCTCATAGGAAAGGAAGCTTTTAGAACTAGCTAGCAGAGGTAGCAGGGCACCTCCCAGGAAGGCAGTCAGCACCTGAATCCTCATGTTGAGGCCCTCTTCCCCCACACAGGAAGCAACACTATTGCCCTGTTGGCACCAAACAGCTGAGTAGACATTAAGCCTGGAAATCCCCAGGGGAGTGCACCATCACACAGATGTCTTCCTTGGAAGTAGTTGCTCTTCAGGGACAATGGGTAAAGGGGGAGGATATAAAATGCTTCCTCTATCTTCTAATTAGCACATCTGAAAGCATGGACAGAGTAGCCTATACGTTGTCATATGCAGTGTACTGTAATGTATGCTATATTACGTATGTAATGTAGTGTAATTAACCACTGTCTGTTGTCTCTTCATTAGGATCTATAGCTGACCACAGACTCTTACAAACTCCAAACCCCATTTTCCAGGGCAATGAGGACAAGTTTAGTCAAACATCTTTTTGTTTTGCCAGGAAAAAGCAGGATTTCTTACTTGGAGGAGTCAAAGACAATGGTGATTATACTCTAGTGCCTATTACAAGCCACTACTTGTACTGTGACATTTCATTGCTTTTTTTAAAGAACTCCTGGCAGGGAAATATTGGTACAATGACAACTCAGTTGTGTACTAGTCCTTCTTCAAGAAAAACCTTTAGAACCCTAAGTCCTCTCCTTTTGTCACAAACATCCTTTCAAATATATGGGACGGAGGTAGAAAGAAGTATGAAACTTCTAGATTGTTTGCCCTGTTATACTGTCCAGTGTCTAGACTTTGTCCCTGGCTGCAAGTCTCCTAATTCTCCCACCTTCCGCTACCACATACTTAAGGAAAGGAGGGTGTATACTTCTTGTCGTATGTCACATCCTCAATTCCTTGGTAACTGGACTTTCAATAACTGGGAGTGAAATGTGACTTGGCCTTCCAGCCCTGAAAAGTACCATCCTGAGACACACAGCTGGGTGATTGTCAGTCATTTGCTGTGCTTTGCAGCTTGGGGTAATGATGTCTGAAACAGTAGCTGTTGCTATGGGTACCAGAGTCTCAGGCAATGATAATATCAGCACAGACTAAGGGAAAATGGTAAAATTGATAACTTCATCTCAGGCTCAAACACGGATTCAAATTAACTGTGTTGACTAATTTACCTCTGGGGGAAAAATCCTCACTCTATCACAAAAGGAAATTTCTTAATAGATGGTTGTCACTGACAACTTGTACTTCATTTTCCAGAAAAAAGGAAAAGTATTTTTTTCCTCAGAAATGTGTGACAAGCAGTACAAAGCACCCATTAAATTCTTCTGAATGTTCTCTACTCTGGAAATTTGTTCTTCATTTCTCATTTTTAAATTCTCCCTTAATATATATTTTTTCATTTACTAGCAACTCCAATTTCTTTTCACAAACCAGAGAAACACATTTAATCATGTATTCAGTAGACGAAGGCATTATGAGTAATCTTGGAAGTGATACTATGCTTCATATTGTAAAATAAATTCTTCTACAAATAGGGTGCATGCTCATCTGTGCATGTGGGGTGTATGAGTGTGTGTGTGTGTGTGTGTGTGTGTGTGTGTGTGTGTGTATGAGTAGTGGTAGTAATAGTAGTCCTCAGTTTTCAGAGGGTATAGATAGAGAATTTGCTTTAGGAAATCTTAAGTGGAAAGTGAATGAAGGTAATTAAATTAGCAAAATGTTAGGATGCCTGAGAAAAAAATAAATTTACCCCTAATTCAGGGGTAGCCAGGGGGAATCATTGGATAAGAGTAAAGAAGAGTGAGAATGGAAAGTAATAATGACAACATTTTTTTAAGAATTGCATTTCAGTTTGGATTGAGGTAGGTTATGAGTAGTAACAAAGACCAGAAAAGTACGGATTTGAAGAAGATAGGTTTTGCCGGCCACATGGAAAAGTAACAAGGAGCAAAGCAGCTCGGGGCTGCTTGGGAAGCCTTTCTATTACATTTTGCTGATTCCAGAAGGCACAGATTTTTATGTCTGTGGGCTCCACTTCAAAACTCAACAGAGTGTTATCACTGACTAGGAAAAAAACCCTGGAGACATTAGAGGAGTACTCTTCAGAAATACTACATTGCCACAGAGGATGCTATTGAGAGATGTGAATGATTCTGAGTACAAAAGTGATTTAGAAGAGTGGAACTTTGAATCTGAACAAGTTCTAACAGTACTTTAAGTTATTTAGTGAAGTTTCCTGTTTGTGTGTATGTGTAAGAATGATGTAATGAGAAAACCTATGCCAAGTAAGAGTAAAAGAAATCTTTCAGTAAGTGTATATTGAAAAATGTAAGAAAAACCTAAGGGCTAGGAAAACATTGTTTAATCATTTAATTGGTAGCATTTTTTTCTTCATGATACATAAAATAGTTTGGTGGGTTTTTTTGTTTGTTTTTTGGGTTTTTTTGGGGGGGGAGGATTGAACTCAGTCCCTTGTGCTTGCTAGGGAAGCACTTATTCCACTGAGCCATCTCCCTGGCCCCCAAATTTGGTGCTTTCAGATTGACAACTTTCGTTTCATAAAATATATTACTTTTTTTTTAATCTACTATTCAGGACTCTGGGGCTATGGTCACTTCATGATTCATATTGGCAATTAAAGCTCTGACAACTGCAATAACATTCCACAAAGGAATGGGACATCTGTTAGGAGAAAGGAATAGATTACAAATCTAGGCACAGTGGGGTCTTTGAGTTAAGGGCTGGTGGCTTGCTATGATCTTTGATGCTTCTGGGTAACAATATCATGAGAAGATTTATTTTTATTCCAAACCAGAACTTTCAATAGAAGGCCTCAGGCCTGATTAACCTGCAGGTGTGGTTTTCTTGGACTGATTGTTTTAGCAAACATTTTAGTTTGGAATACTTTTAACTTTTAGATTTAAATTGCAATGATAGTACATTTTTTGTATATTCTTTACCCAGTTTAGACTAATGTTAATACTGTTTCTAACCATGATATGCTTGTCAAAATAAGAAATTGGAGTAGGCTTATTATTGTCACCTAAACTCCACACTGTGTTCAGATTTCACCCATCTTTCCACAGATATTCTTTTGGGGTTTCAAATTCTAATCCAGGATGCCGCATTGTATTCAGTTGTCATATCTCCTTGATCTTCTCTTAGTTATTCCTTATTTTTTATGACCAGAACACTTTTTAAAAGTACCTGGTCATGTATTGCATAGAATATTACTTAATTCAGATTTTTCAGGTGTTTTGCAATTAGACTAGGGTTCTGAGTTTGGGGGATGAGCAATTTTTCTAACCACACCATATCAAGTGGGCTACATCACAATAATATGAGGTATCAGTAGTTATCTTAAGCTTGATTAGTTGGTTAGGATGGCTAGAGTTAGGCAGGTTTTTCCACAAAAAAGTTGCTGGGTTCTCCTTTTACAAATTCTGTTCTTTAAAGTGAGTTATTATGTCAACTTCTCCCTCAAGAAACAGGAAGAATTAAAGTCTACCTCCTAGAAGAGCGTATTTACCTATATTTGAAATTGTTCTGTAAGGAAGATTTTTTTTCACTTCTCTATTTATTTGCTTAAATTGTTCTGCATTTAACCATTGAGACCTCTTTAAGTTATCTCCTATGTTCCCTTGATATATTACTGTCACTGTGTATGCAACACTTCCTTACTGTCTGGTACTGCAATGTCTTTCTTCTAAGCTCATGTGTTCTCCCTGCTGCAGCCCTAGATCTAACCATTTCTCCAAGGAGCCCTAGTTCCTTTTATTGGAAAAACAGTATTTTAAAACCATGATCTTAGTAAACTAATAAATTTTTAATTAGAAGAGTTCTCATAAAATTCCAAATTTCTGACTTTTCTTGAAAACACTGTCTCATGGGAACTCCATATGGGCCTGAATCTCAGCTGCCATCCTAGGTCACATGTATTCTTCAGTTTAGCACAGTGTGTGCCTCAAGCAATGCACCTTAGGCCTGGGAAAATGCC